AGCTGTCAGAGAGTTCATTCCATGGTGGTTTAGCTCCATGCACTTGGGCAGCATGTTGGATATGGGAGCACATGGAAGAAGTGTTCTCATCATATTGTGAGCAGGAAGCAGAGAGAGAGAGAGAGAGAGAGAGAGAGAGACAAACAGAGAGAGAGAGAGAGAGAGAGAGAGACAGAGAGAGAGAGAGAGGTGGGGGAGGGAGAGAGACAGAGACAGAGACAGAGAGAACACAGAAAGTACGTATCAAGATTCAGTCTGGGATTCATTGTCAGGGACGGCCTTGACCTACAAGCAGCTGGCAGAGATGCCCGATTCCAAGCCCCCATGGAAATTGTACACAACCAAGTCGCTTTGAGTCAGGACTTGGAATTGCAAGAAGTGCCTTATGTGGTTGTACTTAGAGACCTGTTACATGAATGCTCCTCTCCTTCCCCATTCACACATGAGTTCCCTGTTCAGAGACAGAGCTAATGAACATTTTGGGAGTATTTCAAAGAAAAGAGGAAAATAAATCTTCTTATAATCTTGAGCCAATCAATTTAAAAAGAGATTTTATAATCTTTTTCTATAGTAACAACAACAACAACAAAAAGAATGGATTTCTGTGATCTTCAGTATACGACTAAAAGCCCACGGCTACACAGAGCTTTTTGTGAACATTTCCCACCACACCACTGCTAAAAACCTCCATCTTTGGTCCAACAATCTTTGTGAAGTCATGGTCTTTTACCAGTAAACACCCTCAAGTGAGTCACATGCTTTATAAGAAAAATTACTCTCCTATCTGAAAAAAATCCTGATATCTAGGAGCTAGATTTATCTGGTGGAAAGGCTGAATGTCATTAAAATGCTGTACCCAGGGTTCTATTATTGTTTGCACTTGAAATTATGTCAAGAATGACACTTCAAGGGCATCTTAGAAAAAAAAATTATCAAGCACCATTTTTGTAAAATTTCTCATGGTGAAAAAGCATTGGAATGCTTTTTTTAAGGCTAAATCTTACAGTAGTAGATAAACATCAATTCTTGAAATACTTAAGTCTATTTCATCATATTTATATAACAAAGGCAGATAATGTGCCTTACCCACAGTGGGGACAATACAAATGCTTTGTTGACATGCTTTTTGACTTATACAGCACAAACCATGGAAGCTCTGAATATGATAAAAAATAAAGTTGAATAGGCACATGATAACTTTTATGAAGCTGGTGGGTAAGGCTCCTGAACAGTAGCAGAGGAGCTCAGAGACCTTGAGATTTTAACAAAAGCAGCAAAGGGGACATTTTAGTAGAGAAAACATTCACTCAACCAAAGATGAAAAATGGCCAAGAAGGGCATTTTTTTTTTGCCCTGGGCATTCATATAGAAATAGAGGGTTTTTTTTTTTTAAGTTGGCACCTTGCTTTTCCTAATGTAAAAGTGGGCTCCTTGGATTTATCAAAACCATCAAAAGCATTTCAGTTCTGTGTAGCAGCAGACGAGGTTGTGCCAGTCCTCTGAGACGTGGTCATGTTAAATGGTGGCTATTAAGTAATGAAAAAGGATGAATGATACTGTGTACAGTTTTAGTGGTAGTAATATGTATGGGGAATTTTGTTACAGCATTATAAACATGGAATGCAGCTCTATTGTAATTGACACCCTCTTCCATTTCTCAAGTACTTCTGGTATTAGTGACTGCATGTTATTTTGCTATTGTTCATTCTGTGAGGCTTTAAGAAGAGTCTTCATTGCTTTAAGCACAAATGTATGTTGAGACATAAATCCTTTTCAGGAAGAAGTGAAGGTTGCTAATTTGATATGATGGATGACTCAGTTTGTTGTTCTTTTGACACTGCTTTTATATCTGATGTCAAATATGAAATTCAGTTTATCTGCTCAATAAAAAGTATGCCAGGCCCCTGATGATAGGAAAAGAACGCAATAATTTGACTGAGCTTTTCATGCCTTCATCAGTGGCTTGGGTTTTTCCCTTCTAAAATTGTAAGCGATATTCAAGGACTTCCTGTTTGTGTTGTGGTTCCTAAGAAGAAATAGCGTTAAGGGCAAGAAGAGTTTCATAGTGAAAGAAGAGCCTGGGGGTGGGGTGTAGAGGGCCCAGAGGTGGCAGAAGTGTTGCCTGGCTTCGTTGCTTGCAGTAAACAAGATCTACTGTCTTATCAGGTTATTGTATGGAAATTCTCTGGTTTTATTGGTCATGACTCTGTGGATGCGATCATGTTGGAGTTTTTTATTCTTTCAATCTTTTTTTGTTCTTGCCATTGAATGCTATGTTTACTGGAAACCAGATGCAAAATGGTCTTTATGGAGATACTTACGTAAATCACTCATTTCTCATAGCTCCCTTCCATTTCAAAGGCAGTTGTGGACAGAGATTACTCAGCCTTATCACTTGTTGGGACTTAGCAGATGGTCTTCCTCAACTCCGTTCCCAGTGGCAGGAACTGAGGATGAAGAGGTTGAGTGTCTTAGCTTGTGTTTCTTCCTATTGGTGGAGCCTGCTTAGGGTCCGCCCTTGGCACTCCTATGACAAAGCTCTGCTTTTGCTTGTATTGCTTTTAATTAAATTTCTGATTGTGAGATTATTTTCTAAATAGTTGAAAGAACTCATAAAGAACTCCCCTGTAGCCTTTCTTGTTTCCCCAAGTGGCAACATCTTAACTAAGGTATTGATTTTGGTGTCATGAAGGCACACAACTTCATCACCTAAAGATGTCTCATGCTGCTCATTTACAAGTGCCAAAATTCCTCACGCACATGCCACTCTAACTACTGGTAACCACACTTATTTAGTAGCTAATTCTACAGTTTTGTTATTTCATGTTAAATGAGTGGGGTCATGCTATATAAAACTTTAGAGATGGATTTCTCCCTCAGCACTATGCTCTAGGTTAATCTGGATTCATCTGGCTTGTCATGCATGCTGACACATTGATCCTTTCTGCTGCTGAGTAGTAGAGACCATCTCACCAAGGCTTTTCTTTCATGGAGTATGTCTGCTTTAATCTTGGTAAATGTTGATCATTTCGGCATTTGGAGTTTAGAAGCACAATCCTGAAGATAAAGTTCGATTTCAGAAATCCCCATTTTCTAATTGAAGAGACTTGGAGATCCATGAATTATGACAAATGTCTTGACAGAGCCCCTTCCATTCTGTTTGTGATGAGAGAGAGGTGGACTTCAGGGAGTTCCTCCACATGTGGGTGTTTCCTGAAGGGTCTGATCAGAAGAGCCCTCTGCCAGACACAGACAGTTCTGGGATTGCAATGGTGCCATCCATGTGCATGCTTTTTATACCAGTGTAAATGCAATGCATATTTGTAGACACTGGGCTCCAAGGGTATTTCCTCATGCTAATGACATGTAGTATTACAGTCTCTCACATTGGACTTGTTCTTAGATTGTTAAACTACGATGTTGTGGAGGCTAGGCATATTTGCTGCATTTTTGACCCCATGATATTTCAGCTTCCATAACTTTACTGTAAGTGGAAGAGCATCTGAACCACAAATCTGCGAGGGAGCCTCTCCAGGGAGCTAGTATAGAGGCTGTTGAGCAGGACCCAACACTTGTAGACCTCATCCGAGTGTCACAAAGGGGATTCACAGCTGCTGATTTTCCTTACTCAACAATGTGGTGAGAAGACACGATTTATCACCTGTCCACTGCCAATGTGTCTCTGGTCTTGAGTGGTCTGAAATAGTGGAGATTTGTTTCCTATATTAAACTCCAAAGATCAAGTCATTAAGGCAGCAACAGCTGCTAGACGAGGCCCGTGCTTGAATTTATGAGTTCAGTTTTGGTTTCTATCACAGTTTGGCACATGTCATTTGCTCTGTGGCCATTTGCAGGCTTACTTACTGCTATAAAACTGACAGACTTTCACAACTGTCAGTTGGAAGATGGGGAACTCAAAGTCATGCCTCCCTGGGGTACCTGTGTATTCTAACCATGAAGACTACTTGAAGAGCGTGTAGAGGAGAAGGAGAAACAGCTCAGAAGACTGTGGAGTCAGAGTATTGGGAGGGAAGAGGCACACTTCCATGAAAAGATATTGGATAAGATGACAAAGCCTTGGAAAAGATAAACCTAGTTAAGGAGGGGTAATAGAATATAGCATACAGAGTCTGATAGACAGCCTTTGGGTTGCCTTAATGTGAAGAGGTGTTCATATGGCACCATCCCAGAATGCTTGAGAGCCAGAAATCTCCTTCTTGATTTGAGGAGAGGGTGCCTGTAGGGACATGGCGGACTTATAAGGCTAAGCAGAAAAAGAGAATCTCAACCAGGAGATGAGACTAGATAGAACCGGAAGGAACAGAGTGATGTCTGAATTTCAATTTTCATAGCAGCCATATGATTCTGAGGCTGACTGCCTGAGACTCCATAATTCCGTTTTTATTTATTTTAGCCCTGATAGATTTTCCTTCCAGTGCTGTGAAATTCATTGTGAAGTCAAGGGGGCTCAGACAGGCACTAAACACACTTCTGAGGATCATTTCTTTAACTTCTGAGGTCAGGAGTAATTTACTGTGCTTTGGAAAGCCAGGCTGTGTGTCTCTCCCTACATCCCGCTGCTCTCAGCTAGCTCTCCCTGCAGTGTGTGCAGGCTGCAGATTTCGTTCACAGATACTTAAACTTGGTTTTGATGGACCTTGCTCCTGTCCTGGTGTTTCTTGCTCCAAGAGGTTTGTTGTCGTAAAAGCGGCAGCCATTCTGCTCACGACAAGATTGTAACATTAGCATCTCCACTCACCTGGGCGGCTCTTTGACTAAGATAATCAGTTGTGATATTTCCGGTTAGATTTGGTAAAATCTTGCACTTCCCAGATTGTGCAGTAAGTGCTGCCATGTGATTGACTCCACTCTCGTGATCATAACCCCCGTTACACACTCCTTTTCCCACCTCAAGTGTGGAGGCTCATGTTAGGGTATGCCAGCCGGCTACAGAGACACTCGTGTTACACAATCATACAGTTTTTCTCTTCTGCCTTCAGATTTTACAGCAGTGTGTTGAAGCACTCGGGAGAGATCTGTGTTCTCTGGAGATATGGTTCGTGCTCGGATGGAATGAGTCATGGGCTAAGGGAAAACGTAAGTGGACACAAAATGAACGATAGGCGGGCTGTCTGCTGCAGCAGCTTCTAGCATTGCGGGTGTGAGGAGGAACTGGTGCTTGTCTGCCCAGAGGTTTGTATTTGTCCAGTGCCACACAGAAGGAAGGGGCTGAGGGAGAGGCTAAAACTATTCTGAGTTGATTGGTGTCATGTTCTTGAAAGAATGGTGTCTCCCCACACCCTCAGGCTGAGATCATCCTGATCACAGGTGGGCTTTTGTTTGGGAAGACTCAGTCTGGCCTGGCCTTCCTCACAGCGTGAGAGCAGGTTCAGAGAATGGTCCTTTTAATACAGTGATGTGGAAGACATATCACTTTTATGACCCAGCCTGAGAAGTCACCTGGTATCACTTCTGTCATGTGATATTGGTTAAAGCAGGCACAAGGATTTATTATCGCTGAAAGGAAAACAAATTACAAATCCTGCCACTCACTAAGGGAAGTGTCACCATCACTCTGTAAGAAGAGCCCATGGCATGAGACACACTTCACTAGTTAATGTGACCAGGATGCAAGCACTCTGACGTGTATGGCATACACTGAGTACTCAGTGTTAGCTGTCAGTTATTGGATCAGAAGCCTGGGCAGCTCCAAAATGGGGATGTTTGAGGAAAGTTCTGGCATATTCCTTCTCTTTTAATTGTTGTAACATACTTGTACCTCAGGTTGTGAGAAGGAGAACCCTTGAGTCCGAGGAAGGAATGTAGGCCACACTGGGGAATGTATCTGGGTCATTTGCTCGTATGATTTCAGTCCGGATCTATTTAGCCGTAAGCCTGTATCATCACCCTGCATAACTAACCTCTAGAAGGAGCTGACTAAAGTCCCATCCTCGTGTTCACTGAGGCTTATAAACTTCAGATAGAAGTGAGTAAATGTTCCTTGGCACCGGACAGGGGCCCGCTGAGGGTGAAAGCCCCCGAGGCCGGCGGCCTCATGGACATCCTGGGAAGCAGTGAGGCTGACTTTGGAGTGGCCCTCGTTTGAACTTTGACCTCAAAGGCGAGTGGATTAAGTAGCTTAGTGATGAGAACCACAGCCTAAAGCCAGAGCTTTGGGGCTTTTGTTGCTAGCAAATGAAATGTCGGGAAAGGCTTCTTGCAAGCCACCTGCTTCTTCCCAGACCAAACAGCAGCAGCAGCAGCAGCAGCAGCAGCAGCAGCAGCAGCAGCAGCAAGGCCTGGACCCCAGGCAACTGCAAGCAGCATTCTCCAGATGTGCCTGATAGATCGTGCAGAATATCCCTTTCCTTTCCTAATATATTGTCTTTCACCTTAAAAAAACAAAACAAACAAACAAACAACCCACCAGTCTTGTTCCTGTTTCTTATAAAGATTTGATGTAGCTCCGAAACAGGATAATTACGCTCATTGAAAACTTCAGAGTGGTCCTAACACATGAAATGAGTCCTAAGAGGTTCACACTGCCTCTGCAGGGCTCATTCAGTACTGTGCAGCTTTGCCTGGGCTTTCCCTAGCGTATGTGTAGCTCTTCTCACCCATGGGCTAGAGAAAGCTCCGGGTTAAACATTATGGTGGGGTAGTAGATCACAGTTCTTGGGTCCTTGTGGACAGGATGTATGGAGTTGACATGAATATGTAGGGAGAGAGTAAAAGTAAGAACCCAGACCTGCAGACTCACCAGCCAGTCTCTCGCTGTCTGGTTCCATCTGTTCGCAGCATTGAAAGACATTCTGTGAAGAACTATTGTCCTGCAGGCAGCGTAAGGAAGAAATCAGTGCTAAGAGGCGATTGTGGGTAAGGAATGATTCTAACTAATTCATACTCTCAGACCAACAGGGGGTGAGGGAGAAACAGGTAGCATAAATTAAAATAATAACAACGTATATTGTATGAGACAACATTGCCATCTGAAGATTAGTGACATGTTACTGTCCCCTTTATCTGAAACTCTCTCTCTCCCCTCCCTCTCTCTCCCCTTCTCCTCTTTCTCAGTATTGGTTAGCAAATTCAGAGCCATGCACATGTACGAAAGTACCCTGCCACTGAGTGGCATTTTAAACACTGATTTTCTTTTTAAACCCCAAACCAGGGCTGGAGAGCCGTCTTAGCAGGAGAAAGTGCTCGCTACACAAGACTGATTTGATTCTGGGTTTGATCCCCAGAATCCACAGTGGAAAGAAAGAACCCACTCCTGAAAGTTGTCTGACCTCCTCATACGCATCGTGGCCTGTGTATACCAACACACACTTCACCTCCTCCCCCTCCACACAATGACGATGAATACAACCAATTTAAAAATCCCAAACCACAACAATGATCAATGGCATAATATTTTAATAACATTCGTACATTCATTGTAATTCAATCAAAATTAACACTGAGAATCAACACTTGGGGGTAAGTGGTCCACTTGAGCAGGACTGGTCCCTGATTGGGGCTCTCTAACTCAGTGTCTCAGAGCAGAGTAGCACATGGGATCTACAGTTTGCCAAGACTGGAATTATCTAAAACATTTTAAAATCTTTAAATTGGGAAACCTGTTCCTAAAGATTATGTATAAACACCCGTATATGAGTCTGTACTAATGTCACACTAGCAGTGTTGACTGTAGGAGCCATGTGAGTGTCCTGCAGATGTGAGTTCTAGTTCTATCTGCAAGCACACGCATGTGTTCATCCCTGTTATAGTGAACCAAATGAATTTGTCTCCCAACCATTGTGACTCCATGCTGCTTTTTGACAAAAAATGTATCTCGTTTCAATTTTGTGTGTGAGTAATAACACAGACATCTTTTTGTATAAAATTTTTGTTCTTTGATTTTTCAATAAACTTTATAAACCAAAAATAAGAATGTAATTTAGCTGAGAAACAGCCTGCGCAGGCGAAGGAGTAGGAGAAAAATCAATGACAAAGCATGTTTATGAGCTGTGTGTACCAAGATCTCAATCTTGCTAGGGACTCACTGGGAAACCATGATCAGCACGCCTCAGACCGTTCAGCCTGGGCTTGATCAGCACTGTATGGTGGTATTTTATTTGTACTGAAATGTGATTTTAATTGTATGTTAATAAATAAAGTTGCCCGGGGGTCAGAGCTATTAGAGCCATAGCAAGAGTGTGGTGGTGGTGGTGGCGGCGGCGGCGGCGGCGGCGGCGGCGGCGGCACACGCCTTTAATCCCAGCACTTGGTAGAAGAGCTAGGTAGATCTCTGTGTGTTCAGGGATACAGCCAGCATTGGAGACATACGCCTTTAAGACCTGGAGAGCGGTACTTACAGGCAGTGACAAGGCAGTCATGTGTTTGGGTTTACAACCAATGAGAAGACAGAACAGAAAGACTATTTAAAGACAGACACACAGGAAGTAGCTCTTTTTCAGGGAAGCTAGGAGCACTGCAGGAGGTAAGAGTTTAGCTCTGAGCTCTGACCTCTCAGCTTTCTCTTTTACATTGGTTCTGTGTTTCTTATTTTAATAAGACGGTTGGTTACATCTATAGCACTGTTTGTTTCATAGTTTGGACTAAGACCCTGTGGTTACATCTAATGCTCAAAGAACATCACAGAAGAGTGGGTGGGGAAACTTAAGAGCCAGGGGAAAAGGAAGTCTGCTTGGAGACTGTCTGCTAGAATGACAGGGAACTATACCCATGAAACCTCAATGGCAGCACCAGCAGACATGCTAACATGGAGAGGGAAAAATCTCACAGGGCCCCATCCCTAGATAAGGAGCTATAAACTGTAGTGGGTAGCCGTTCCAGCTTTGACCTGGAAGTACTACCCCCATTGAGGCTTCGGTAACTGTCAAGCCTACAAGGCTGAGCCGAGAGAGGACCCTGAAGACCCGAGATTCAGATGTGCCGGCTCTCTTGATTCCTGGATCCTGGACGCTGGAGGTAGATTGAGCAGAGTTTTCCAGAGAACACCGCTGGACTGTGCTATACCTTTCTCAGACTCTGTAAACTATCCATTCACTTGTAAGGTATCCCACAGAATAAACCTCCCTTTTAACTACGTGGAGTTGCCTTAATACTACAGACAATAATAAACAGTTAACAACTACTGAGAGAGGGAGATTTCTTCCCCAGGAGTGAACCCCCTAATTGGTTATCCAATGCCAATCAGGCACTCAGCAGGTTGTAGTGTGTGTTCGTGTGTGTGTGTGTGTGTGTGTGTGTGTGTGTGCACAAAATAATAATGATTAAAGAAAAAGAGACCATGGATTTGAAGGGGGATGGTGGAGGGTGTGGGAGCAGCTGAAGGGAGAAGATGGAAGGGGAATGATATAACTATTTTAATTTAAAATAGTGCAAAAAATACAATAATCTGTAGTTGCTGGTGAAGCTTGGACTGCAGAATCAGCTCCACAGAATCCTGTGTGCTTCATCAGGTCAACAGTTATCTCTGTCATCTGATGGAAGAGAAGACACTTTATCTGTTTAACTGATCACTAAATGAAAGCTCTAGAGCTGGTTAAGAAAGACAACTGACTAGTCTTTCCTCTCATTCACTGGCTTTGCTTTCGGGAGAGCAGGTGCAGTGTGTATTTTTTACAAGTGTCTTGCTTGTTCTGGATCTATTTTGCCTTAGTTAGTCTTTTTATCACTGTGATAAAACACCATGACCAAAAGCAAGTTCCAGAGGAAATGGTTTATTTCAGTTTACAGCTGTAGTCCAGCATGAAGGACTCTCAAGGCAGAAACATAGAAGCAGGAACTGAAGCAGAGGCCAGGGAGGAGCCCTGCTTACTGGCTCATTCCCCATGGCTTGCTCAGTTTGTTTTCTTATAGCATCTCAGACCACCTGCCCAGGGGAGGCAGTTCTTCCTGTGAGCTTCTGTTGTTAGTTAAGTCAGTGCCTGACAGACTTGTCTACAGAATATCCACATAGAAGCATTTTCTGTTAAGATTCCCTCTTCCCAGGTATGCCTAGGTTTGTATCCAGTTGACAGAAACCAACCAACATAATTCAGAACCCGAAACTCATTGGAAAGAGCAAAGCAGGGTGTCCTCGGGGACTAAGACTGTGCAGAATCTTGAGAGTTGTGGTGCCTTGGAGTACAATTAGGGAACAAAAGAATCAGATCAAGTGTCATGTCCTGGATCTTGTTATCGTCAGTGTATTCCAGTGGTTCAGAGTATCAAAGCAGAGTAGTGTCTGGTTCCAATTTTCGTGCATTCTCCATGGAAAATCTCCAAGCAACAATGAAGGTAACATGTAAATAATATTATTAAAATGAGTGATAATCTTTTTCAGATTCATCTCCTTGGAGAAAGTGGAGGTTCGGGAGTCATAAAGGCATGGGCAGAGGTTTTAGGGAAAGTATTGAGTCGAGGGAAACCCTGTTAGGGTAGCTTTTATATTTGAGAACAACCAACAGCATTCCACATGCAAGGACCCCAGAGCTGCCTCACCAACATGGCCTTCTTAGAAAACTTCCTGTACTACACCCACCAACTGAACAGGAACCAAATCAAAATGTGGAGATCAAGAGCACTGGACCTCAAAGAGGCGACTCTGAAGCGAGCTCTCTACGGGGAAGCAAAGAGTTGCTGTAAATCCACTCAACAGGTCAAATGTAATTAAAGTGCCCAACATTGTCATACTTGAGGACATAACAAAATTCTAATAGAAAAGTAAAGAGTAGTTTGATTTCTTAGCTTGAAACCTGTAAGATCTGGCGAGAGTGTTTTCAAATGCATCTGCTTTAATTTCCTGAGAATGAATAGATTTTCTTCAATTGCTCTGTTTGCCATTTTTTTCTGTCTTGGGTTATTGTTAAGCTGAGGTAGGACTTCTACTCTTAACAATCCTTCTGTTAAATGATGCAATTTGCTTTATTATAGAACCACACTGTAGCTCTCCTCCTCCTTCTCCATTTTCTTTGTTTCTTTCCTCTCTTGCTCCCTCATTATCCTATTCAAAGATCTAAGACATTATTTTCCAACTTTTTTCTTCTTCGATACCTAAAAGCTAGGCCACAGAGGCAGCAAGACAACCTGACAGTCCCACATCTACAGTTTTAGGATCCCTTCTCTGTGAAGTCGGGCAGCATGTTGTGAACACGGGGGAGGCAATGCCTGGCATGGTACCGTGTCAAGCTCTCCAGATGTCCTTTTCTGCAAGCAGAGTCTATTGATGAAGGGAGAGGTCCTGGATCCAGGGTTTCCAGCTCTTGCTTTAGAGATGTGGAGGAGACAAAGGGACAGTTTTCTAAGAAATCTGCTGCTAACCTAAGTCTTCTGACTGCTTGTTTAGAATTTGCACCTTTTCTCTCTTAGAAATGAAAACTGGGAATCTTGGGTGAAGAAGCAGGAACTAGCAAGGACCCAAAGACATCTCCCAATGAGGTGTCCACATTCTGTCACCTAATCACTTATGAAATTATCCCATGTGCTGTTTGTTTACCGGCCCTCAATGAACCCACTGCTCTCTGGTCTACGGTGTGCTGTCACAGTGTCTTAGGAAAACAAGTGACTTGTGTGTCATGTCTTCACATGCTGTGGAGACGGTCTCTTTGCCTTCCTGAGTTTCAATTCCTCATGACCTGTTTGAGCTGGCTCACACTGCTTCTGTGACAGCAGACTCTAGACCAGAGCACAGTAGGCATTTGTTGGACATGTCTTTGAATGTGTGCTGTGTTTTGCATAGCCTTGTGCAGGGCTTTTTTCAATTCAAGATTGCTGAAGGATCTACAGATTGAGACCCCATGCTTATGAGAGTGGACATGTTTTCAAGGCCACCCTGGGTCGGTAGACTTACACAGGGGTGCCTCAGACCTCCTTAACAGCCTGTGAAACTGGAGCACTCTGCTGGTAACAGCACCCCCTCTCCCTTCTTGGGCTTGATTTTACCCTGGGGATTACAACATATGCCAAGATACTCCTCTAGATGGTCAGCAGGAAAGGCTGTGGATCCTAATTCCTAGGACCTCTGTTATGTAAAGCTAAGGATGTTAGGATATTTATATGAACATTTATGGAGAAAAACCGATCGAGACAGTAGTCTCTTTGGATTTATCTATATACCATCTGTCCACCATCTATCTCTTCAGTGCCTCCTGGTTTCTGAATCATCAACATTTTAAATGCAAAACAACGATAGCTCCCGTCACGCGCGCAGCATCCAGGCCATGTGACGATTCTTACATACAGGTGTAGTTACAACACCCACCTCTCCTGTGGCTTTAACTTGATGCAACGTCTGTGAAGCAGCCCTAAATCTTCCTATTCCCAGAGGAAGCCTGCCATCTGCTCGTCAAGGTTGGAGTCACTGGAGGGGGCAGCTGCAGTGTCTCTTTCCATCTGAGT